GCCAGCCAATTCATTCTGGAGATTGATGAAGTTACCACAGACACTGCTTTATTTTTAGAATTACATAGTACAACGCACGCACACTCACCCCGATGAATGCAGACAAGCCCTAAGTACAACACACGCACACTCACTCCTATGAACACACGCAAACCCTACCTCTATGAGCATCTTCACACTCACCCCTATAAACGCACACACGCAAACCTTACCCTTATAAGCATATTTGAAGACTGAGCCAGCCAATTCATCCTAGAGATTGATGAAGTCACCACAGACACTGCTTTATTTCGCACGCACACTCACCCCTATGAACGCACACAAGCCCTACCCCTTTGAGCATCTTCGAAGACTGGGCCGCCTCGCTGTCGAGGGGTATGTCGCCTACCACCGAAAGCACAAAGCCGTTAAATACTGGAAAATTCGCTCCCATGGAGAGTTGAACCTAGGACCTAAGGTGCTACTGAGGATCTTGTAACCACTAGGCTACATGCCCTTTCGCTTGAGGCAGGTTTTTTTCTCTATCTCTACTATTATAAAAATTGAAAATATTTTTGCTAAGATTTTGGTACACAATCCGAGTCCATTTGCAATACGCTTTTTGCGGTTTGTCCGCTTCCATGTGATCCTCTGCAGTCCATCATCCTTACGAGCCCGTCATATGCTTTAGGCCGAGTTTAGATCCAAAGTTTTTCTTCAAACTTTTAACTTTTCTATCACATTAAAACTTTCCTACATACACAAACTTCTAACTTTTCTATCACATCGTTTTAATTTTAACTAAACTTCTAATTTTAGTGTGAATTAAACACACCCTTACTCGATGTTGTTTGCCTGGCTATATGTTCCCGAATCGTTTTCTTATGGGGCATTTGCAAATTTGCCACCGGTTTTTTGAATATTGCAAGGATACCACTCGAATGACAGTTCTAGTGGCATTTTTGCAATTTTCTAGTGGCAGTTTTGCAATAATGATTCAAAGTAGTGGTAAATTTGCAATTGCCCCTTTTCTTGGTGAATTGTTTACATGGGAATAAAATACACGTACATGTCATGTTTACATGCGATACGATAGTCTTCCGTTTTTCTTCCGCTTTGTGTTTGTATGCGATACGGTCTCTGCTTCCTTTTCGTTATTTAGGATGTTCCTGGCCAGTGTGCTCTGTTTTAATTCCTGGAGGCTATGGGTTTATTCACTTTGATGCAATTTTTAACTATACTATTTTTTTAGCAAAGTTGCTTAAAAAATATCTACGTTTATTTTGTTGTCAAATTTAGTCAATACATAAGAAATCCTATTAAAATTTTGACAATATTATCATCTTATCAAAATTATATTATTACTAAAACTTGATAAGGTTTATTTTGGCTACAATCTGAACAGACCCTATATTCGCAGAATCCAAAGCACAAAGCCACCGACAGGGGCGGAGCTAGGATTTTGAACCACTGGGGTCATGGTTTTTACTTGTATTTATGTCGTATTTGAAACTCTAATTATTCTCGAAGCTAGATATTTTTAGCTCAAATTTCTTTTGGAGCTAGAGGTATGAGTAAGTTGGGATTGTTTCATTTTGCTAAAAATAAATGTTTAAACTCTATTCTATAATAATTCATGAGGTTTTAAGGTCAAAAATTTAAAAGTTAAGACTATATATAACCGGGCATAACAACCATGTGTTTTTTCAGACATATAAATATGTTCTAAAACTTGTTTATTACTCCATCTGTCTCAAAATACAACTACCTATGTCTTTTAAGAGATTAATGTTAGGGTGCGAAATAATTATGATTGGTTGAAAAAAAAAGTAGGTGAAAAAAAATAAATCGGAAAATATTATGATTGGTTGAGATGGGATGGTTCATAGAAAATAGTTTTATTTTAATGCAAATTTGAATCTTAGAAGTAACATATTTTGAGAAGACGGAGTGAGTAGCTTAAAAAAACAGCTAACATCTAGTAGTTGATTAGCAAAACTACAGGCTTAATGCATTGATATACACAGCGCATAGCTAAAATAAATAGTTGGTTAGTAGATCAAATATGTCTAATTACAGCATTAGTAGCGGATTGACAGTAGCATAACACAGCTAACAAATTGTGCTTCCAAGGAAAGAAACTGTACAATTGTTTCAGTTTTCCTGAGCTCCAGCAGTTTAATTAGCCGGCTGGCCGGGGTCATTAATTAAGCTTTTGCTGCTGGGGTCATTAGTTATAAAATACTGAACAATTCACTTGATTCATCGAATGCCATCGGGTCATCTGACCCCGATGATAGTACAGCTCCGCCCCTAGCCGCCGAGAAGAAGCGCACGCGCGCCACCCCGGGGGCCGGTGCAGCTACGGCTACGCGACCATCGTCGATTAAGCACCCCTAGGCGGTGGGCTCTCTGCTTCACCGCGCCACCACACGTCTACGCCGACCACCACCACCGTCTCACGTTCTCGAACGTTCCCGGAGCAAAAGTTGGTAAGCGTGATCGTTCGCACTTACTCAGAAGTACTATGGATGTTAGTAATTGTTTGGAGGTCGATCAACCTGCACATCTGTCGTTTTAGAATTTCAAAAAGTTATTTTAGATATACTGGCAGCACAGTACGAACGTACGTAACATAGCAAAATAGAATAATAGGATTCATTTGAAAATAATAAGAGAATATTGATCTCTATTAAAAAGTCCCAGTATATACATGATGCATAAAAGGACCCTTATATATATAAGAGTTTAATTGTTAATTTTCTTCATCATGCCGGACAAATAGTAATGGAGACATGACACTCAACGTCGGTCATAAAATCCTTATGTTTATATCTCTTCTCTATCGCTATTTATTATAAAAATTAAAAATGTTTTTGTCAAGATTTTGGGATTTTGATGCGTTATCCGTATTTGAGTTGATTTTTAAGTTCGTTCGCTTTTAGAAATTCAGATCCGTGTTTGAGTTGGAATTTAAGCTTATTTTCTTTTGGAAGTATAAAAGGATTCGTATAAGAAATCTTTTGGAAAAAAAATTCGCATGCTAACTTGAATTGAAATACAAACTACTAATTGCAACTCATGATTTTCTTAAGAAAAAATCCAAGTCTATTCCGACAGTGAATTTTACTCTAGCTAAACCGTATAATAACAATAAAATTAAAATAGTATTTACCCGTTGCAACGTACGGACATTTTTTAGTAAAAAAATAAAATTCCACTCTCTTTGTGATTAGTTGGAATATTTGGGTTGCTGAGTCAGATTTAAAAACACCTGTTATGTTACATGAAATGTATTTTTAAATATGTCCTAAACTTGAAAAGATGCATACAACTTTTGATCAAACAGTAATCCACAGACAACCAACATCCCGGTCCAGGGCTTAATATGATTAATAGAATACTCGTATCAACAAGTTGCAATTTCTTTTCCGGAAGCCAATCTCTAAAGAACTCCGAGGTTAAGTGTGCTTGGCCTGAAGCAATTTAGGGATGGGTGACCAACCCGGAAGTGCATGCACACGAGTGAGGACAAAGTGTGCAGAAAAGATTTGTGTTGGTCTGTGAGGGCACCAGGACTGGGTGCACACGAGGGAGCAATTTAGGGACTGTGAGGGCACCGACCGAGAAGTCCCGGGTGCACACGTCTATGACCTACGAAAGCTACTAGATGTAAGTGAGTCCGGCCCCTGAGAGGGCAGTATATGACCTACGAAAGCCTGTGAGGGCACCGGGAAGTCCCGGGTGCACACGAGGGAGCAATTTAGGGATGGGTGACCGACCGGGAAGTCCTGGGTGCACACGTCTATGACCTACGAAAGCTACCAGATGTAAGTGAGCCGACCGGGAAGTCCCGGGTGCACACGTCTATGACCTACGAAAGCTACCATGTCTATGACCTACGAAAGCACACGAGGGAGCAATTTAGGGATGGGTGACAGACCGGGAAGTCCCGGGTGCACACGTCTATGACCTACGAAAGCTACCAGATGTACGAGGGAGCAATTTAGGGATGGGTGACCGACCGGGAAGTCCCGGGTGCACACGTCTATGACCTACGAAAGCTACCAGATGTAAGTGAGCCCGGCCTGAGAGGACAGTGTATGACCTACGAAAGCTACCAGATGTAAGTGAGCCCGGCCTGGGAGAGGCGGGCCGTTACAAAGTGGTATCAGAAAAGGTCTATGACCTACGAAAGCTACCAGATGTAAGTGAGCCCGGCCTGGGAGAGGCGGGCCGTTACAAAGTGGTATCAGGTCGTTACAAAGTGGTATCAGAAAAGACTTGTGTTGGTCTGGTCTATGATCTACGAAAGCTACCAGATGTAAGTGAGCTCGGCCTGGGAGAGGCGGACCGTTACAAAGTGGTATCAGGTCGTTACAAAGTGGTATCAGAAAAGACTTGTGTTGGTCTGTGAAGGCAGTCTATGACCTACGAAAGCTACCAGATGTAAGTGAGCCCGGCCTGGGAGAGGCGTTGCGCAGGCATGGTGCGCATGGCTGGTGTGGACCCGGAGTGGTCACACAGCATGGCACATGCGCTGGCACTGGACACACGGACGTGGCCAAGAGGGGACGTTCCTGGTCTGGGGTTGACCGACTGCCATGCTCTGGCACTGGACACACGGACGTGGCCAAGAGGGGACGTTCCGGGGTTGACCGACGAGGACGTCGGTGTCTTAAGGGGGTGAGGATGTCACATCCCGGTCCCACGTGGCCTAGGGTTGACCGACGAGGACGTCGGTGTCTTAAGGGGGTGAGGATGTCACATCCCGGTCCCACGTCCAAGAGGGGACGTTCCTGGCCTGGGGTTTACCGACGAGGATGTCGGTGTCTTAAGGGGGTGAGGATGTCACATCCCGGTCCATGGCTTCTTAATATGATTAATAGAATACTCATATCAATAAAGTGTGCAGAAAAGACTTCTGACGTTCCTGGCCTGGGGTTGACCGACGAGGACGTCGGTGTCTTAAGGGGGTGAGGATGTCACATCCCGGTCCAGGGCTTCTTAATATGATTAATAGAATACTCATATCAACAAAGTGCGCAGAAAAGACTTGTGTTGGTCTGTGAGGGCAGTCTATGATCTATGAAAGCTACCAGATGTAAGTGAGCCCGGCCTGGGAGAGGCGGGCCGTTGTAGGTGGGCTCCACATGTCAGTGACTGTTTGCTCCTGCGACGACGAATCTGTGCCGACCTTGTTTCACCGCCTCCGCCTCCGATTCGACCTCCGCGGCCGCCATGAAATTGGAGCTTCCGGGAGGAGGAAATCTCGAGAAGTAGAGAGAGAAGACCACAGCGTGGGCGAGCGCGTCGGCGTCATTGATTCCGGCGACATGAAGCCCCCCGCCGCGGCCGCGGCCGGCAACAGGGCTGGTGGGGTGGATCCGTCGATACCGCGGTTCAAGTGCCAGGAGTGCCACCGCGCGCTCGTCGTCGTCGGCGTGGACTCCTTCGCCGCCGATAAGCTCCCGGCTCAGGCCACCTCTGGGCATGTATCCTCTGTTCATGGAAGTATTATGGGAGCTAGCAGGATGGATAATTCTTATGTCGTGCTATCCAAGCAAAACAAATCTCATGGCCATGGAATTCCCCCACGCCCACCGAGTGCAGCAGCCCCACATATCGAACCTAACCAGCCAACAAGAGCGATGGAGGGTTCATATATAGTGCTTCCACCTGCTGCTGCTTCCATATACAAGACATCTACTTCTGAAGGAGGTGGTGCGCAGTTGCCACCACCAAGTATCAATTCCAGCAGTTTGTTAACAGGAAATAGTTTTCACTCTAACGTGACTGTATTAAAACGGGCATTTGAGATTGCTACGTCACAAACTCAGGTTGAGCAGCCAATGTGTCTGGGCTGTATGAGGTTGCTCTCTGATAAGATGGATAAGGAGATTGAAGATGTTAATGCTGACATTAAAGCTCATGAAGTTTGTCTTCAACATTTGGAGCAGGAATCCTACAATGTCCTCAGCGATGCTGGTTTTCAGGAGGAGAAACTGAAGATTGAAGAAGAAGAAAAGAAGCTTAACGCTGCTATTGAAGAAGCTGAAAAGCAATATTCAGAAATTAGTTCTGAGATGAAGGATCTTGAAATAAAATCTAAAGAATTTGAAGAATTGGAAGAAAGGTATTGGCATGAATTCAATAGCTTTCAGTTTCAGTTGACATCTCACCAGGAAGAAAGAGAAGCAATTTTGGCAAAAATAGAAGTTTCACAGGTTCATCTGGAATTGCTGAAGCGAAGAAATGTTCTCAATGATGCATTCTATATTTCACATGATGGAGTAATTGGAACAATAAACAACTTCCGACTCGGACGCCTTCCTAATGTACAGGTTGAATGGGATGAGATAAATGCTGCTTGGGGTCAGGCTGCTCTTCTTTTGCATACCATGGCTCAGTACTTCACCCCAAAATTTGAGTACCGGATTAAGATTCATCCTATGGGTAGCTACGCAAGAGTCACAGATATCCACAAAAATACATATGAACTTTATATCATGCTAACCAGGTTTGGTCCCGTGGATTTATTCTGGAGCACACGTTTTGACAAAGCCATGACATGGTTTCTGACCTGCCTGCAAGATTTTGCTGAGTTCGCTATTAGCTTGGATAAAGAGAACAATGTACCACCTGAGAAGTCATTAAAGCTCCCATACAAGATTGATGGTGACAAGGTAGGGAGCCACACAATCTTCTTAAGTTTTAATAAAGTGGAGAACTGGACGAAAGCACTAAAATACACGTTGTGCAACTTGAAGTGGGTCCTCTACTGATTTATCGGCAATACGAGTTTCGCACCACCCCCTGGATCTTTGTGTGCAGCGCAATCATCTAAGAGAAATTTAGGGTTTCGAGTTTAGCTCAAGATTTTGGTGAGGAGTGTTGCTGGTGCACTTTGTAAACACTAGTTGATGCAATAAAATCAAAAAGTTTCAATCTACATCTTCAAGTTTGTCATCTACCGGTGTTTATGGGTCCAGACGGTCTAACCGCAGGTCTACGCACGGTTTGACCGGTGGGATAGCGGCGGTAGGTGTTCGGGTGGTCTAACCGGCGAGGCTTTGGTGGTCTGACCGACGGCAGGAAGGCGGTTCGACCGGCGGCGACAGGACTTCATCATCTACTCCGTTTGAGGGTAGTTTTTATTTCCACTAAAAGTTTCTATTTTGGGTTTTTGGTTAATTCTACCATTCACCCCCTGATCTTATGCGATCCTACAAGTAATATAATTGTATATACATGTGTTTATAATTTTCATTTTCTATATGCAATCTTACCGTTCTTCCATTTTGGAAACATTTTTTTGACCGTGAGGCTCACTTCACTATATAGGTGAGCTGTAATTTTAGCCGTGAAGGTCCACTTAAATACTTGTGGATGTGTTCTGATGGTCGGTCGTCTGCAAAGATTCATTATTGTAGACGACCAACTTAAATAGATAGCCTATCATAAATCATAATTGATATATTTTTGCTGACGACCGGTTTAAGACTCCACGTACAAACACCACCATCACCGGCTTCTTTTAGTTGAAATCATGGTTTAGTCGAAAACAGTATCAATTTACCTCTGACCAACATGTCAAATTGCTATATAGATGTGCTGCTTGTTTACTCCCATGTGTTATGCTTTCATCATAGTATTATACTACTTCCATTAACGGGTATTAGCAAGACTTAATTACCTCATGTGGCCTGGCACGAACGTCAACACCGGCCAATTATCCCGGCCAGGCGGCGGCGGTGGCTTGTCGTCGCCGATCGAGCCAACCCATCCGTTTCCGAACTGAACAGCAGCATGACTGCATGGGACGACGCCACCTTCTCGGCGCGCTTCTCCTTCCCGCGCGCCGTACTGCAGTGCCTCCTTGTCCGCTTCGTCGTCTTTTACACTCTTCCGCCGAGCGGCCAACCCTGCCACGCGCGAAGCAGAAGCAGGGGATCCTCGCTTACCGCGCAGGTCGCATGCACCAGAACACGCGGGTCACCCTGACGCGCGCGGAGGTACCCCCCCCCCCCCCCCCCAAAAGACCTGTCCACCCTGGCACCGGGCGGGTCATCGCCGCGAGCGGCATGCCGTAGGCGCGGACCCACACCTGCAGAACACCGTCTCCGACCGATCGACAGCCTTCGCCACGCCGTCGAACGGGACGAGCACCAGCGCGGCAGCGCCTGGCGCTGTACATGTGGCGTACGAACGTGTCCACGGGCCCCGCGACATGGCGTGGCTGTGGCTCCAGCCGCCCTCCGAGCCGAACCTCTGAAGACGAAGTGACCAACACGTTGCCTCGCTGTGCAGGCTGCAATCGTGCCCTCCATTGTTCTGGAGCTCACAGGCCTGGGAGACAGCAGCTTCCCGACCGCGGGATCGTTCTCTTCGTCCGTGAGATTTGAGATCGGCGAGGTTCGCCTCGAGTTTGTCCATCCAGGTAGGAGCGGATCAGCGATGGCTTGCGCCTTGCGACGGCCGGCGAGGATGCCCTAGATCGCAGAGGGCGTCGCGGCGCCGTGGTGGAATAGGAGGAGGAAACCTCGACGTGAGGAAATTATTGGGCTCTGTAGGTGAGGCCCAACCCAATGTACGGTTCATTACAGCATAGCTCCCATACACCAGTATCTTTCGAGCTGGTTTATGGCTGTACCTTTGGTTCGAATCCAGAAAAAGGACTCTATTAAGCCCTATATGAAACGCAATTGCTAAACGTACTTAAACTATAGCTATAATGCAATAACTATATTATACTCTTTTTTCCCTCAAATGCAGCAAGTTATAGGGATCAAATATTGTATCAAATATAACAATATAAGGCATGTAAAAGGTCATTTTTGCCACAAAAGTATCCATATTACTCCCTCTCCTATCCCTTGGCTCTATTATACTTCTGGCGTACACCTCACCTATCTCACCTATCTCGAGAAGTGAAATAAGTCTCTCTTACCATTCCTTAATACACGTGCCATGCTCTAAAAGTTATTACATTTTGAGACGGAAGGAGCGGTTATATTTGAAAGTTTTTCACCAAAAGACTGTGCGATAGTTTTTAATTAGATAGTCACATAAGAAAACATGTGAGCATATGATTTACCAACCTAGTTAAAAAATTATAGCTATTGCTAAGAAAACATTTGATAGTTTTTCTTTCCCCCCAAACATTTGAATTTGTAAAAAAATAAAAAATCAGTTCACCTCAAATATTTGTGTGGCACATAAGGGTACAGAAAAATGCAAGTCGCAGGGGAGGCAATCGAACTGTGTGTAATGTTAAATTTATAAGTTACACTGTAACTGTATAAGTACTCTATCCTTCCACAAATGTTAGATTTATTCTATATTTGTAGTTTTCATGTATCTAAAACTGAAATAAAGAGATAAATTAAATATTTAATCGAAACCCAAGGATTCATCTTTATACTCATTGGTTGCATGCATGCATACACTTTTTAATCTTTATTACATGTTAGATGAGTTAATTTTCTTGATCTTGGTGATAAAAGTAATATGTCCAAATTCTTGTGGATGGAGGGGTAATATACTATAATTACATTTAAAAGTTTTTCTTTTTTGAAAGAACCCAGCAAAGCTGGTTTTATATTATAGAGAGAAAGAAAGAACTATACATGGGGGGTTGCAGTTTAGTGCTGGAATTGCACTTCCCACCTACAATGCAGAGAAATAAAAAAAAAAAGCTACTCTCGCGATATTACATGCTGCACACCCTTGGCGCCTGCCATTCCCCATAGCTGTATCTCATCCATAATCTTGTTTGCAATCACCGATGGTGTGGACTCAACGCTTCGGAAGATACGATTGTTTCTTTCCATCCAAATTTCTCAAATCGTGGTTAGGAAGGCGGATGTAGGTCTCTTTTATTGAGCTTCTCTGCACTGCACGTTTGGCTCCGCCACCATTGAAGAATTGTAGCATCCTCCTTCGAGTCTTGGAAGCGCAAAGGCCTGATCCGCCACCATTTAAAAGTTTTTCTACTTAAGAGTTAAGAAACGGTTAAATGTTGTGTAGCTACTCTCCCTAAATTTTCCAGTCGCAGAAAGCATCCACGGAGAGTCGTAGAGTGGCCTTTTCTAGCTTCAGCCCTGACGAAATGTGCCTATGTGGGAAAAAGGGAATTTCAAACGGTATCTCCCAAGTCCCAACTCAACTCCTCGACTAATCTACCCCCTGTGACCAAAGTCTAAGCTCCTGACTTGTTCCTTGCATCTACATGGCCCAGTGGCAATTACTAATCACCATCTAAAACGTGAACAGCTGAACGATTAACGAATGCCAGCTCGGCGCATCATACACGCATGCGATTGCGATGCCCTCCGATCGATCCATGCCCCAGCCTAGCCCACCCATAAATAATCTCGAGTAGTACTAGTACTATCATGCATGCATAGCATGGAGCACCCCAAGAATCCACAGGTTTGTCACGTCCCACCACCGTTTGTTGCCATCTCCTTTTCCTTCCAGCTACGCCGCCGATGCAGCTAGCCAGCTCCCAAACCCCAACCCCATGAGGCCGACCCATTGACGAACCTCACCGGCCTGACGCGCGCAGGCGCAGCCTCTCGCGCTCGCTACGCTCCGGCCCCGCGCGGCCGCGGATGATACCAATTCCCCGGTGCATGTGGCCCGCCACATGGCGAGGCAGGCGACGAGTGACGACACGAGCCGCCGCGCGGATCGTCCAACCGCGCGCTCGTAGGACGGCAGGAGTCGCGCCGATCCACTTGTCCTTGCTTCCCCGCGGGAGCGCCGTGACCTTTGTCTTCGCTCTCCCGCGGGGGTGTTGGCCTCGTCTGTGATCGCAACTGCTCGCAACGCAAAGGAGTTGAGATTGTCCAGAAGTGCACGCTTCTCCCTCGATCGATCGATCGATACACGTTTTTGCGAACGTATAAGGCCTCGCGCGGGCCAACGTGCATGGATAAAGGCACACGGCGCGGTTGGTAGTATTATACTATATGCTGCTGTCGGGTGAAGTCCTCCGATCTGTATAGGATCTGCTACATTATCATTGTTGTTCAGTATCGTATCGTCAAAATCAACCTGCAGTATGAGTACCAATAATGCTTCGGTTGGAGAATGCAAGATGTACTTACACTACGAGGTGTGTCGGACATTTGTGTCAGTCAGAACATTGAGAAAAATACGAAATGGAGAAAGACAGGAAGAGAACAAAAGGTACACTGCGAGACCACCGTGGTAGTGTACTGTAATCTGTGTGCGCCCCTGCTATAAGAAATCGGTTTGTGGATAGGTTAAAATGACTAGCCCATTTCCGTACAGCCGGAGTCTTTTGGCCTAAGTGTAGGGTAGTATCTGTCGGGTTCATCAGCCAAGTATGATCATGGGAGAATTATGCATGAGTAATGATGGCGGAATCCTAATGATGGTCAGGGAACGAAAATTGCCACTTGAGTTCCCTTTGGAGCTTCTGAAGTTTTGTGATGGGAGTAATTTTACGTTCTTAAATCTCGAGGTATCTATCTAAAATAAATGGTATCTTAAGATAATTAATACCTATAACTTTGGATGGAGATTCACAAATAAAATTAAATAATTTTTATGATCTTGTTATGCCGTGGGAGTTTTTATTAGTTTGTGTGTGCTTTTGTTTATTCATGTGTGAGTTTTTGTTAAATTGGTGTAATAATTATCTTAAAAAAACTAATACTTAAATATACCAAATTTTATAATAGAAAGTACGATATCTTCTAAGGATGTGTTCGGATGGCCCCTTTTCTCAACCCATCTCTCTCGTTTACCGCGCGCACACTTTTCAAACTACTAAATGGTGTGTGTTTTGAAAAAAGTTTCAATATGAAAGTTGCTAAAAAAAATCAAATTAATCTTTTTTTAAAAAAATAGCTAATACTTAATTAATCACACGCTAATAGATCGTTCCGTTTTCTGTGCTCACTGTGCTGGATGGGAACAGAACCAGAGAACACACCCTAAGGATGGTAAACTTATC